ATATATACAAACTAGAGGTGGGAAAAAGTACTTTGTGACCTTCATAGATGACTGCACAAAATATTGTTATGTATACTTATTACGTAGCAAAGATGAAACCTTAGAAAAATTCAAAGAATTTAAACTCGAGGTAGAAAATCAGCTTAAAACAACTATTAAAATAGTTAGAAGCGATAGAGGAGGCGAGTATGATGGGCCACTCAATGAATTCTGTAAAGAACATGGAATAATTCATCAAACTACAGCCCCTTACTCACCAGAATCTAATGGAGTTTCTGAACGCAAAAATCGAACTCTAAAAGAGATGATGAATGCAATGTTGCAGGAATCAGGGTTGCCCCAGAACCTGTGGGGGGAAGCGCTGCTTACCACTAATTAAATCCTCAACAAAATTCCACATAAAGTAATTGGCAAAACTCCATATGAATTATGGAAAGGTAATTTACCATCGTATAAATACCTGAAAGTGTGGGGGTGCTTAGCAAAAGTTGCGGCACCACCACCAAAAAAGGTCACTATTGGACCTAAAACAGTGGATTGCATCTTCATCGGATATGCACATAATAGTAGTGCTTATCGAACTCTGGTACATAAATCCGAAATATCAGATATCCATGAAAATACAGTAATGGAATCAAGAAATGCATCTTTCTTTGAAAATATTTTTCCATGCAAGGAAAAACAAGGCTCAAAACGAATTCGAGAAGAAAGAGACAACGACAATGGTTCAGAAACTGAGACAAACGTCGAGATTTCTACAAATGATATTTCAAAAAATGAAAAAGATGAACCTAGAAGGAGCTAAAGAGCTCGAAAGGAAAAATCTTTTGGAGAAGATTTCCTAATGGCATTTCTAGTAGAAAATGTTCCAAAAACTTTGGCAGAGGCCATGGCTTCACCAGAAGCCCCGTTTTGGAACGAAGCTGTCAGAAGTGAATTTGATTCTATCATGCAAAATTATACATGGTATCTAACAGATTTACCACCTGGCTGCAAAGCATTAGGAAATAAATGGATAATGACACGGAAACCTGGTGGAAAATACAAAGCTAGGCTTGTAGTTCAAGGATTCCGACAGAAGGAAGGCCATGACTATTTTGATACATATTCTCCAGTAACGAGAATAACATCAATAAGACTGATGATAGCAATCGCAGCCTTAAGAGACCTAGAAATCCATCAAATGGATGTAAAAACCGCTTTTCTAAATGGTGATTTAGAAGAGGNGGCTTGTAGTTCAAGGATTCCGACAGAAGGAAGGCCATGACTATTTTGATACATATTCTCCAGTAACGAGAATAACATCAATAAGACTGATGATAGCAATCGCAGCCTTAAGAGACCTAGAAATCCATCAAATGGATGTAAAAACCGCTTTTCTAAATGGTGATTTAGAAGAGGAAATTTACATGAAACAACCTGAAGGTTTTGTCATTCCTGGACAGGAACATATCATCTACAGTACTCTCGTTCTGAACTCAGTCCATCCTTAACATCCTTAACCAAGCTCATTATGCTGAAACAATATTGGAGAGATTTAAAAATTACTCTAATAGCACAGCAAAAACTCCGTTAGATCCCCAAATGCACTTGACGAAGAACTCAGGGGAAGCGGTTTCACAAAACGAGTATGCACGTGTGATTGGAAGTCTCATGAACTTGACCAATTGCACCAGACCAGATCTAGCGCATGCAGTAAACGTACTCAGTCGATATACAAGTAATCCAGGTCATACACATTGGAAAGCTATAACGAGAGTACTCAATTACCTGCGATACACCAAAGATTTTGGGCTTCACTATGGTAAAGAACCAGCAGTTTTAGAAGGATACAGTGACGCTAACTGGATATCAGATTCTAAAAACTCAAAATCCACAAGTGGATATGTCTTTACACTAGGAGGAGCAGCAATATCATGGAAATCTACTAAACAAACAGTTCTAGCCAGATCCACCATGGAATCTGAGTTCATAGCCATAGACAAAGCTGCAGAAGAAGCTTAATGGCTTAGAAATTTTTTGGAAGATGTTCCTATGTGGGAGAAACCTGTGCCAGCTATACGCATACATTGTGATAGTCAATCTGCTATAGCTAGGGCTCAGTATAATCTCTACAATGGTAAATCTCGTCACATCAGAAGACGACATAAAACCATTAGACAACTTATCTCAACTGGTGTAATCACAATAGACTACATCAAATCAGCTGACAACCTAGCGGATCCATTTACTAAAGGTTTGCCACGAGATATTGTTGCTAAATCATCAAAAGGAATGGGTTTAAAGCCTATTACAAAAGAAGATGTTTGATTGTAACCCTACCTATCATGACTGGAGATCCCAAGACGTAGGTTCAAAGGGAAAACAAAATCAAACAAAATCTAACCAAAGCACTTGAGACAAAGTAGTCTCTTCCCAGCTCCTAAGATGATAAAAGTGCTACGAAATGTAAGGATAAGCATTAGCTTTTAATGATTCCATAGCTTCTAAAGCGAAGTATTACTCAATATTTTTCATGGTCAATCACCTAATGAGTGTGAAATGAGGCCGTTTCTAGGAGAATGAATGCAAGGCTACATTCTCTAAGTTCACTCATGAAAACCAGGAATAGTTCAGGGCCACAATGAACACAATAGAGAACTAAGTTCTACGAGAAAATGAAGCTGCGTTATGCCTGTTGTCTCGGTCTACATAAAACACCGGTTGGTTCAAGACATCATGTTCACCTTCTGGTAAAGTATACCCGACAGATATTAACTATGAGTGGTTCAAGGCTTAAAAATGCCACCAACTCAAACACAGTGAATTTTTTGCAAACACTCTCGATAAGTCTGTCTAGTCAAGACTAGAATATTTATAATTTTTTTTTCTTTAGAGTCTATCGAGTCTGCATATAGTCTGCATATGTTTAGAGTCATTTCTATTCATGTGGGGGATTGTTGGATCTATAATTAAAAGCCCATGGCTTTAAAAGTGTGAATAGAATTAATGGGCCATTAAGTGGCCTCAATTATGTGTAAATGAAGAGAGTAAGTCCCACATCGGGCATCTTGAGAAGAAGTGAGCATTATATATATGTTCCCTTGAAACCATGGGTTAAACAACTCAGAGGAAGAGAAGAATATCCACGCGCGTGCCGCCGCCGCCGTCCGGCTCGGCGTGGGCGTGGGCGTGGGCGTGGGTGTGGGCGTGGGCTTGGGCTTGGGCTTGGGCTTGGGCTTGGGCTTTGGCCCGATAATAAGCTATCTTTTTGGACCAAATTAAGCTCACGTTTTGCCATTTAAATTTCAAAAAATAACACGACGTTCGTGTATAAACGACATGTAGTTTGTATATAAAAGAAAAAAAAACAACATGGAGTTTATCAGTTCGAAATGAATCAGAACGAGTCAACAAAGGAGAGATCTTGCGGAGAAAGTTTCTCAACTCCACTCCCGAGATTTCTGAGAGATTTTCGCTAACGTGGTGCAACAGTTACGAAAATCAAATCTCTTTCTCCTCTTTATAAACTCGTCTTCTCCTCTCTCATTTAGTATCGTTTTTTACACAGAAAAAAACCACCAATCTCTCAGCGTAAGTTTTCAGAGAGTGTTCGTAGAATTTTGTTCGTTAGGTCGTTTCACGAGTGAAGCGTGATTCGTCTGCCATGGTTGTATCCTGGGACTTGATATTCGTACAGTTTCGTCTCACTACGGAGCGAATATTAAGAGTTAAGGAAAGAGATTTATCTCGCCTCCATGTCTTATATAATCGTTTATTTCCTTAACTCCGTCTTTCTTATATCGTTCATGTCGATCCGGTTTTCCGGCTTCTACAACCAATACCAAGAGGGGCGGACGGAATCTCAACTTTTGCAACTTTGGCTGGAGACTCTTCCTCTGCAGACGAAAAGAAACGTCGGTTCAAACATAATGCAAAATAAAGACGAGATAATGAGCAAAATAGTTTATAATAATGTAAACAATGATACAATGTCAAGTTCTCAACTCCTTTTACCATCTTCTCCATAGTGAGCAGCCAAGAGATGAGGTGGGATTCCTTGCATTCCGTATATTTCAATCTCAAGTGAATCTCTACCGGATTTAGCATTAGGAACCCTGATGAAAAACATATCAAAGTAAGAGCAGTGTATGAAATCAGAAAATGTGAGAACTATAACATTATGCAGCATTTTTACAAGACCAACAATTGCTAGTAAAAGGATCAGACAAAATCCAGCCATGACAAGAACTCAATTGCCCTTTTTAAAAAAAAAAAAAATTCGTCTTATCCATTATGTCTCCAAATTGAATGACTTACTCAACCAAACGAAGCAAATCAAAACTGAGTTCCCACTGAGAGGAAATAAAATGTCTTGGCAAGGAGGCCGTGGGAAAGAGAGAGAGGCAGTGATGATTAGCTGTCGTCCCGATCGAGCTCTAGCAAATAAAGAATGGTAAATAGTTTTCCCATGTTCCTAGACAGAGTATTTGAGGAATGGTTGGGTCTGATCACCGTCCGGTAGTGGCTTACATGGAAGATAAGGTTCCTAGAAGGAGAGGACAATTTAGATTTGATAAGAGATGGATTGGCCATGAGGGTTTTATGGATTCAATTGTTTCTGGCTGGACAGAAAATAGTGGAGGTCCAACAATGAATCTGGTCTCAAAAATATCTAAATGGCGAAAGAATAATCAATCATTTGGGAAGGAAAAAATTCAAGACTTGCAACGGCTTCTCGAAGATGTACAAATGGATGAAAATAGGTCGGAAGAGGATATCTTAGAGGTTTCAGAAAATTTCAGGAGGTATATAAGGATGAAGAGGAATATTGGTATCAGAAGAGTTGCAATATGTGATACTCCTCAGAGGACCTTAATACTAAATTTTACCATGCACTAACGAAACAGAGGCGGATACAGAACAGAATTGTGGGTCTTTATGATGAGGCTGGAAATTGGATAATAGAGGAACAAGGGGTGGAAAAAATAGCCGTAGACTATTTTGAAGATTTATATACTACGACTTCGCCATCTGATTTTGATGATTTTTTGGAAGAGGTTCCATCAACTATTACCTCGCAGATGAATCAAAAGCTGTTGAGGACAATGACCGAGGAAGAGGTTAAACAGGCGTTGTTCATGATGAATTCAGAAAAGACCCCAGGACCAGATGGGATGACAACGCTTTTTTCCAGCACTCTTGGCATGTCATTAAACAAGATTTGGTGGATTTGGTGAATGATTTCTTGATTTCAGGGTTTCTTGATCCACGACTAAACATTACTCATATCTGTATGATACCCAAGACGAAAAGACCCACAAAAATGACAGAACTGAGACCAATAAGTCTTTGTAATGTTGGGTATAAGATTATTTCGAAGTTGTTATGTCAAAGGCTAAAAAGCTGCCTACCAGGGATCATTTTGGAAACTCAATCGGCGTTTGTGCCGGGTAGGCTGATATCAGATAATATTCTTATTGCCCAAGGAAATGTATGTTGGGGTCAAAATCGGTACGACGGAATCAATGACCAAAACTTTCTGCAAAAATAAAAAAAACGTTTTATAAAATACGAGAAGTTGTTTTATAAAATTCTAAGGACTTTCCGAACAAAGAAAATTCACGGAAAACTTGGAGATCGTCATCTCGGAAGAACGAACGAAATAATCGCCGATTACACGATTGCCCAAGTTAAGCAAAAAACCGCAAAAAACCGCATCCGCCGTAAACCGCGAGTAGGTTCGACCGAAACAAGTTCAACGTACGCTGACCGTCCTGAGCCTTGATCTTCCGTGTCCTTGACTCAAGGCATACGTCCTTTGGTTCGATCATGCTCTGAACCATGGTCAAAACGTCTCTCGATCCGTCTCACCGTTCAAGTTTTACGATAAAAATCGTAAAAGTCTTCTTTTCTCGTAAAGTTCGGGAAGATCGTATAAAATGACAACGATTAGACGGAACATCGTGCATTGTCAAACTATACGATCAACTCGAGAAATCTTATAAAAACAGCATCGTATCAGGAAACGATCTCGTCTAAAATCGTAAAACGGTTTTTATCGCAAAACGGCTTGGACAGCCCAAAAGCGCGATAAAAGTCCACTTGCGACTTTAAACGAAATCCAGCCCAAAGATACAATGACGGTTTGAAGATTTACTCGCAGAAAGAAGATAAATGTTAAGTTTGAAGATAAATGTCAAGTTTGAAGATAAATAGAAGATTTCCGCAAAGAAAATGGAAAGATCGAGATAAATGGAAGATTCCCGATAAACTCGAAACTGGGCGAAAAGGAAGGACTAAACCGCCTTAGGAGGGAGTATATAAGTAGAAAGCGAAGGACAGAGCATAGGGACGAGTTTTCAGAGCTTTCACCACCAAACTTAGCACTTAGTAATATTTTCGTTTTTGTTATCGAGCTGCGCCTCAACTAGGGTTTTCAGTCATAGGTTATTAGAACTAGGGAACTCGCCGACAGCTCTTGTAGCCAAAGCTTACTCTTGTTGTACCACTCTTACGCAGAATTCGGAATAAGATCCTTCTTGCTCTCAATCTCGCTTTTTACATCTTTTTATTTTCATTTATATCGTGTTCTTGATTGCTTGTGTGCGGTTCCGCAGATAGCCGGGTCCTCTGGGAAATTAGGGTTTACTCTAAGTTCCTAAGTTTACGCCAAATCGACAAGGGTGAATTTTTGTTCCCACAGTTTGGCTAGAAGGAGGGGGGGGGGTCAGATCTATCTTACACTCAAGCCGCAGCACGCTCAATTGAGAAGCGATGTCTGAAGAACGACCAACTCGCATCGATGGCGACAAAGTTGACAATACACCAGCTCTGGATGTACCCGTGGTTAACGCTAACGCTAACACTGAGGCCGTCGAGAAGATGCTCTTCGATTTCAACAAGAAACCAGCGGAGCAAGAAAAGCTCATCGGTTCACTCGCAAAACAGGTTGAAACCTTAACTGCGAGAACCAGGGCAATTCGCCCCTGCGGAACTACTAGGATTCGCGGAACAAGGCTCGATTTCGGGACTCCTACGGATTGCCCCAGAACCGAGTAGGGAAATCTGCCGGAGAAAAACTCCGAAAAGATAACCCTGACGTGACGCTGAACGAATCGGAAAAATCTCCTACTCGCAGATAGGAGACCGAGGAAGATGGCGTCGAAAGGGTTAACCTGGAAACAAGCTACCAATCCGATTCGTCGGATGAGGACGCGGACGTTCATCCTAGGAGAAGGAAAACTCGCATCCCTCAGCCAGAGTCTTCTCCCGAGCGCTCTCTCACTGAAGATGAGGAGGAACTCTATGATGTGAAATGCACAAAAATAGCCGGGGAACGAACTCCAGTTACTCGCAGCAAACGCCGACGAGGTCGGAAAACTGCTGGCGATCTATCTGAGATTCACAATCTCCGCGACTACATCATTAAAACGGCTGCAGCCGTAAAAGCGGTGAAATCTCAAATTCACCATGCTACCACCGCCGCACCCGAAATCGATCGGCTGCTATACGAATCTCGGAAAACGCCTTTTACGCCTCGCATTACCGAGGTTAAGCTACCCGATCCAGGAAAGCTCAAGGTGCCAACTTACGACGGGACGACTGATCCCAAAGCACACATGCAGGCCTTCCAGATTACCATGGGACGAGCCAAGCTCAAGGAAAGCGAAAAAGACGCAGGCTACTGCAGCCTTTTCATCAAAAACTTAGAAGGAGCAGCGCTCGAGGTGTTTGCCAAGCTCAGACGGAATTCAATCGGGAGTTTCCGCCAGCTTGCTTTTGAATTCCTGAAACAATACTCGACGTTTATCAATCGGAAACTTCCGACGCCGACCTTTGGAGCCTGTCGCAGAAATAGGACGAATCCCTTCGCGACTTCATGAGCAGGTTCAAACTCGTCATGGCTAGGGTTTGCGGGATAAGCGACAAAGCCGCCATCGACGCGCTCTGGAAATCGCTTTGGTTCAAATCGAAGTTTTGAAAGTGGATGACTCTCGAGAAACCACGGACGATCCAGGACGCGCTCCACAAAGGTACTGATTACATAATCATCGAAGAGGAGACTAAAATCATATCTGAAAAGCATAAGCCGGCGAAAACGTCCGCAAAAGACATCGCGTCCGAGCAGAAGCTGAAAAAGAAAAATCCTTGTAACGACAAATACGTCCATCACGAGGGGCAGGATCTCCAAGGGGCGCACAACTACGCCATCAATTCCGGATCGGAACAAGGGTGAACTACGGGGAACACGTGGTCAAGGAATCCGAAATACGACAAAAATTCCTTCTGCGATATCCACCAAACTCGCGGGCACTCTGCCGTGAACTGCAAAGTTCTCGGCGCCATACTTGCCGCAAAATTGCCCGCGGGAGAACTTTACGAGATATCCAGCGTCAAGGACCTCATCCGTGATTCAGATTGCCCCCCGAAAAACGACAGGAACTCGCGAGCGGAAACTCCGCCTCAAGGGAACTAGTAAGGCGAGAAACGCGGACGAAGACAAGAGGAGAAAGGTAATGACGCTAACTGCCGAAAGATCAATATGATCATCGGTGAATCACAGTACTACAGAGATACCATCTCATCTATCAAGTCCTACCAACGAAAAGCCAAAATCGGTTCGAGTTGGAACGTACCATCGGATAACAGTCCAAGGGGAGTGATCTCTTTCGATGACACAGAAACCGGCGGCATCGATCAACCGCACACCGATCCTCTCATCATCGACTTAGTCATAAGCGACTTAGAAGTCGCCCGAATCCTGGTCGACACTGGAAGCACCGTCAACGTAATCTATGGCAACACGTTGGCGCGCATGGGAATCAATTTATCGGAGATCGAGCCAATACCAAAGCAGTTGAACAGTTTCTCCGGCGAAACGGCTATGACTCTAGGATCGATCCGACTTCCGGTCGCCGCGAAAGAAGTGAAGAAAGTTTTCAACTTCGTAGTCGTCGATTCCCCACCTATCTACAACGTGATCATGGGCACGCCTTGCATAAACTCCATGTAGGAGATTCTGTCGATTTACCACTTAGGCATCAACTTTTCGACCCCTATGGGAGTCGCGGCAATTTGGGGATGCCAGAGACAATCGCGATATTTCTTTTTAGCCGAACATAAGCTAAGGCAATTGGCGGTCGCAATCGTGAAACCGAAACGGGCGAAGTTCACATCGCCGCCCGCGGA